CCCCTAAACACACCCTTTTAAACAATCTTATGATAGTTTTCACCTGTAAACGGCAGATTAGGGATTCCAGCTGCAAAACGCAAGTTCCTGACACAGGAGTCCCTAAGCGCACCTGAAACATACTGTAGGTGTGAATGGGGCCTAATATACAGATACACTAAAGGTGCCCAAACACCTGCCGATTATCGTACAATAGTTGTGGGTGATCCCGCGATCGTACGATAATCGGCAGGTGTATGGGCAGCGTGCAACCGCTTCTACTGTAAGGTCGCACGTCTTTCGTCTTCCGAGCATGCTGGAAAACCCGCCGAAAATCGTATGATTTTTGGCGGATTGGTGGTGTGGTCGGAAGACTAATGCCGCACGGGCCAAGATGGGCAGATCGTACGAAATGTTAATGACCAGTCAGCTGGCTGCGGGCCTCATAGTACCGGCTAGTAATGTTAAATCATCCCTTCATTGGTGACACGTTGCAGTGATATTAACCCCCGCTTGATTGGTGGTCAGTAGCAGTGTTTTTAAATCCTTCATTGGTGAACAGTGGAAATAATATTAAATGCCCCTTCACTGCTGGTTAGTGGGAGTAATATTAATTCCTTCCTTCTTTGGTGGTCAGTGGAAATATTGAATCATCCCTTCATTGATGGTCAACAAGTTAGTCCAACAGGGAGATAAGCAGGAACACGCACACAAAGATAGGGCACAACAGCAAACAGAATTGTTGCTAAAGCACCGGACCCTGGAACGTGGATCCTTTTGCCTCTTTAAATAATGCACTCCTATAAAGTCATCGGCTGCAACGCCACACAAACAGAAGCTTGTCAGCATGTGAGTGACAAATGGCAGTAATAAACTCCTCCTTCTTTGGTGCTCAGTTACAGTAACATTCAACCCTCCCTTTAGTAGTTATTGGTGGCAGTAATATTAAACCAGCCTTCACTGGTGGTCAGTGGCAGTAATATTAAAGGGGTTCTAAACCCTCTGTTTTTTTGCCTATATCTACTGCTAGCAAGCAGTAGTTATAGGCAAAAAGTTAAAAAAAAAAGCTTTAACAGCGGTTTACACTTACCCTGTTTTCACCGCGCGCTCCTGCCCGAGAATCTGAAACTGCTTGGGCAGCCGCAAAGCATCTTGGGGTGGGCGCATGCGCAGTTCAGATTTTCGGGCGGGAGACGAGCAGAGACGCAAGGTAAGTCTATGGGCGCGTGCACCTGCATGCAGAAACAGTGGGACAGGAAGTGCCAGCAAGAACAGAGGAGTCAGCGCTGGATCGGACACCCGCCGCACCGCAGGAGGGACAGATGAAAACATCAGGAAAGAAGAAGATCGGATTAAGATACATCATTTAAGGTAACACTAACATTGGGGGAGGGAAACATTTGTTGACTTTAATGTCACTTTAAATCATCCCTTCATCTGTGATCAGTTGTAGGGATAAGAACGCCATTGGTGGCCAGTGACAATATTAGACCCCCCACTGCTGGTCAATGGCAGTAATATTAAGTCCTTCCTTCATTGGTGGTCAGTGGCAATAATAATAAATCTTACTCTTCAATGGTGGTCAGTTGCAATATTATTAAAGTGACATTAAACCCTCAGATTTTGTAACATAAACCAATACTGTAATATGACAAGCAAGTGAACTGGTGCTCAGGAGCTGACTAAACCTTTTTTAAAGATCCGAATCAGAAGAATCTGATTCATAGAAGAGTGGCAGCTCCCTGGGAAAGTTTCTGTGATCAGTAAGGCAGTGTTTCCTGCCTTGGCTCAGGGCTGTCACAAGCCAGGTGTCCTGTAAGACCAGCCAATCTATCAGATCAGTCGATGTCGTCACTTCTGATGACGCGCGATCAGCTGTGTCAATGAAAAGCAGTTTACTGCGTATGCGCACTGCATTCCGATGGGCCGATGTCACATCTAACATTGGTAGCCGTCAGATTTGTCCATAGTCTTTACAGCACATGCGTGGGAATAACACTATAGTAAAATCTGAACATTATTGTGCTGTAAAAACTATGGAAAAATCTGAGGGCTACCAATGTTGGCTGTCAGCCCATCAAAATGCGGCACACATGTGCAGTAAGCCGCTTTTCATTGACACAGCTGATCGCATGTCACTGGAAGTGACAACATTAGCTGATCTGATAGATTGCCTGGTATAAACAGAACACCGGCTCCTGTACTTGATCATCTAATACAGTGTTCCCCAACCCCCGGTCCGTGGACCGGTACTGGTCCGTGGATCAAATGGTACCGGGCCGCACAGTCTCAGTGCGGTCCGGTCATGCAATATATGGCAGTGCGGGGCCCCGGTGTTCGAACACCGGGGCCCCGCACTGCCGACGGGCTTCACAGTGAGGGGG